GATTGACAAAGAGTTGTTGGTTGGTGAAGCATCTAGAGCTGGATCCTCTGATTTTGTCGGTGCTGGTGCCGGAGTTGATCTGTACGATCTGGCCAATGCCCAGGATGCCCGAGTCGGCACCGAGGCTGGTTCCTGAGATGATGAAACAGTGCCGGCGGAAGACTGCGCCACTGCTGTATCAGAAAAGTCAGGTTTGTCTCCCTTACTAATTCTCGGAGACAGAGTAGAAGGGAGAGATTGCGCCAGAGAAACCTTCCTTTAAGAGGACTTTTTTGACATGGCTGAGCCAGCCCTTTTCTTTGATGTTCCAGGCTGGAGCTGAGATCGCAGTTGGGGCTCTGAAGGTTGCACCGCCTTGTTGAACAAAATCATTCCAAGGCACAACTCCCTGTCCTTTCTCGCCCTGGCTGTTAGGCTGCAGAAATGGTCACACTTCTGGGGGATATGAGTTTCCTCCAGACATCAAATGTAGGATGAAAGACCATCTGAGACTGGCATGGGGTCATGACACGTCTCACATTTCTTAAACCCCAGTGAACCCAGCATACCATCCACGGGTCTTTCGCTGTGTAGGGCTTTCTGGACTCTCCCTCTTCTACTTTCTCCTTTGTTGTTCTTTATTCTTCTCTTTCTCTTTGAGGGAATGGAGAGAAGGGAGGGTTGGGAAAGGTTCCTGTGGCCTCCTGTGCTACTGGAGTTGGTCCCACTTCCTTTTTTTTTTTTATAACTAAAACATGAAAGAACAACTATAACTAACACTAACTATAACACTAACAACTAAAACAATGGTAACTATTTAGAAAACGAGTGTAAACTAATATGCTGACTAAAGTACCCTGAGACGAGAGACTGAGCTCCATCCGCAACTGAGGGCAGTTAGCAAGGAACCAAGGGAAGGTTGGGCTGCGCCTGTGAGGGGCTAAGGTGTGAACGCCACAAAGCATCTTTCATGCTTGCACAGCCCAACTGACAACTGCTTTGAAAAGCTCCAGTCTGCGGAGTATCCATGGGAACATCACTTGAAGAAGAACTTCAATTTCGCCCTGTGCACATGTACATTATGATACGTTTTTTAATTATAAGTCACATGCTATGTTTTTTCACAGGACCTGTGCCTCATTCAGAGCGGATAGTGCTCACTTAACTAGCGTTTGGGGGCTTTGTACCGATATTATTCCAATGAAATTGATCCGATACTAACACCTAGTGTAAATGTGTTTGTAACAGTATAAAAAGAGGCCTGTGTGCATACAAAAATGTGGATCCATATCTGATCTGAATTGGCTAGGGATGAACTCACAATCTGACCCATGATCTGCTAGCCATCTTTTTTACCTGCATCTGCATCTATTTTTGAACTTGCAATAGCAACCGTCTCACAAAGGGGGAAGGGTTGGTGATGGAAGCAAAGGAGTGAGTGTGGGAACAGGGTCTTTCAGGGAAGAGGCAGTGCGAAGGATGGGGGCTGGGGGTAAGAGGAAACACAGGGGCAGGGTCTCAAGGAAAAAGGGCAGCATGACGGTGGAACTGGGAAGAAGGAGCATCGCATCATGTTGTGTTCCTAGGGCCTACTGAGCAATGGCACATGACAGCAGAACAGCATAATGAATCACAGTGGGGCACAGGGGTGAGGTGCCAGGACCCCGACCATTCTAGGCCCCGGGGCCAGAGCGGGTCCTACTACCTAGGAGCCAGCAGGATGGGCCTGGGAGTGCAGCTAGTGCAGCTGGGCCAGGATATGATGGGAATTCTGGCATTGCCAGAGAAGCCTGAGCTTCTGGACAGGAAGAGATGTGGCAAGTGGGTGATGGACATCCCTGACTTCAGCCGGCTGCCCAGCCCCAGCCATTGGCTGCTTACTCTGACTGTGCTAAGCTCCCCTGACTGCCAGAGCTGGATGTCATGGCTTAGGCACTGTCAGCTAATAGAGCCCTGCATGGTTGTATTTGCTTCCGATCAACTATCCGCAAAAATGTTCCAGATTCCATGATTATCTGTATCAATTAAACCGATATCCATGGATTTTACAGGGACCTAGTGATTTGTAATTGTGCAATTATGTCTAGATTAGGGCTTTGCACAGGTGCAGCTATATTGGTATGCTGCACAGATGTATAAATGGTGCAGGAAGATGTAGTGTTTTTGTATTCATGATCACTTTTACAGAAATCTTAGAAAAAGTTTTCTGTTTTCATTATTAATTTTCTTCAGGATGTGTTGCTCACGGCCATTGAATGTAGATGTGTGTGCTTGCCACATGCATCAGTGCCAGAAGATTTTTCCTTAGCAGTATCCATAGGGGGTACTGGCTCCGGCATCTATGTTGAATGGACATGAGCAAACACTCAAAGAATTGCATTCTAATAGTTTTATGGGTATTTTTAATTATGTATTTCTGATTTTACTACCAGATTGATATCCCCTTCTCTTCCATCCCCACATATGGAGGATGGCCTGCTGCAATGCAAAGATAGCCACTTCATTTTCTCCTAACTGATTAATCTCAGCCACAAGGTTTTGGGTCAGTACCCAAGCTCCAAGTCAACTAGATGGAAAAAATATTTCAAAGGGAGTTTCATAGTAATATTAACAGTAGTTCAGGAACATTGGCTCTGTATAGTCACAATGATGGAAAAAGTAGGTATTGCTGAGGGCATGTATCCCAATGGGAATATATGGAGGCTGTTTTGGAAAGATATCGTTTGTAACAATTTGCGTGCAATACATGTATAATAACTTGTCCTCACAAAAACAGCCTACCAGGTATTTATAAGTGTTGGTTGCATCGCTCTGGATTAGGTCTCTAGCTAAGATCCAGATGAATCAGTACAGCTACAATTATGTGTTGGGAAGTCTATACAGGAAGTTGCAAACACTGCAGTTACACTGGTTCAGCCAACTACTTTAACTCAACCCACAATGCAATGTCTGAGATTTGGAAAATTACCAAACATGGCTAAATCATCTGTGCTACTTTGAAAATCTGAATCAGTAAATTGTGGTTACTTATCTTACTTGTCTGTGAAACAGCCTGGTGCATCAGCACAGCAATACTGTACAAGCATATTAAATATTTTCTTGAAGAATTACAGGCATAACTCAAATACCAGGCTGACTTTTCAGTTAATGGTTTTACCTAAGGATATTTAAAAAGCTCAGAGCACTTGACTAATAAACTGGGCTCTAGTGAGGAAAGAGACAAGTAAGGGGGATATGACTGAGGTCTATAATATCATAATTAGTGTAGAAAAAGTAGATAAGGAAGTGCTATTTATTTCTTTTCATAACACAAGATAAGGGGTCACCAAATAAAATGAATAGGCAGATTTAAAACAAATAAAAAGAAGTATTTCTTCATACAATGCACAGTCAACCTGTGGAACTCTTTTCCAGAGGATGTTGTGAAGTTCATGACTATAACAGAGTTCAAAAAAAGAAACAGCTAAATTCATAGATGATAGGCCCATCATTTGCTAGTAGCCAAGACAAGCAAAGATGGTGTCCCTAGACTCTGTTTGCCAGAAGCTGGGAATGAACAACAGGGAATGAATCACTTGAGGTCTACCTCTTCTATTCATTCCCTCTAGGGAACCTGGCAGCAACCATTGTCAGAAGATAAGATACTGGGCTAGATGGACTTTTGTTCTGACCTGGTATAGCTGTTTAAAGAGCTTCAGGTTAAAAAAAAGTTAATATTCAATAAAATGAGTAATTGCTATCCTGTGTAATAAATAAAGGAAAATGAAGGAGAAGGAATAGGTCTCAATTATATACCTCATGCAGAGTTGATGACACTGTTTTCTGTAGAATAGGCACAAATTCTTCCACAGGTGAAAAAGCGTTAGGAGCCAAAACTTGATAAAGGCTTAACTTCTTGGCTATAGCAAGCAAGGAAAATGATAAATGAAATATACATTGTATTTTGTAATCCTTGATTAATACCATATTAAGCTTTTCATATGCAATACCTTTTAATCCATTTGTCTTTAACCAGCCACCAGAGGTTTTGGCCAGGAAGCTTGGAACTTGTATAACAAGAGGTCCTTCATGCTTTGGAGGTTTGGGTAGGCCACTAGCAGGTGTCAACATGGTAAATTCTGTGGAAATCTGGACAGATTTTTAAAATGCTTTATGTAAATATCAACATATGATCACTGTCCTCTATAAACCTTCTTATTTCTTTTCAGTCTTTCTTCCATGAGACTAAAAATAGGTCTAGCTTTTTAAATTTTTCCTCATAAGTAATGCTTTCTAAATATTTTATTATTTTTGTTGCTCTTTTCTGGATACTCTTTAATTTGTCTACAACTTTCTTGAAGTGTGGTGCCCACAACTGAACACAATACTCTAGAGAGATAAATGCACCACTTGTACTCTGGCTTCATCAGTGCAAGTGGTGCATTTATTTCTCATGTCTTACACACAATGCTTCTGTTAGTGGACTAAAAAATAACTGCATCATGTTGTTGGCTCATGTTCAATTTGTAATCCACGATAACCCCCAGATCCTTTTCAGCAATACTACTACAGAACCAGTTTTCACCCATTTTGTAGTTGTGTACTATCCTTCCAAAATATAGTACTTGTCTTTGCTGATTTTAATCTTGTTGACCAGAGACCAGTTCTCTAATGTATCAAGATCATTTTGCCATAGCAATTTTATATATGCTAAAATGTGAGGTACCATTTCCAAAGATAACTAACAACTGACAGAAAGCTGTAGAAATATTTTGAACATAAGCATTTCCAATGAGCCCTTCGAAAATAGCTTTTGGAGAACAGCATTCCACTGCATTCATTGTGAAAGGCACAATGCAAATCTTTGAACTTCAATGGGATTGCACATTATTACTGAAGCAGTAGGGCTCAATTACTGTTATATATCTTTTTAACAACTCCAAAACTATCAATGGTCGTACGGAATTATAAAAGAAACAAAAGTGGTGCCCTTCACTGTGTAGTAGTGTAAAAAGTCATGCTTCTTCACAATAATCCAAATGCAGCCCAAACATGAGTGTGCCTGGTGGGCAACTCTACTACAACAGGGAGTCATCTGGATTTGTTCTCCATAGAAGGGAGTTTTGCCCTAGTATGCTTATTAAAATGTTACCATTCTATATACATTGAAAAATTACTGTTAAACGCATTTCTTAATATCTTCTCCTCTTGCTGCTGAAAAAGGATTTCCTTTCAACTATTCTGAGTTTCCTTTACCACTACATCAGAAATGTTTATGATTAAAAACCACAGCTTTCTTGTAAATAAAATACATCCCTTCACTTAAACACAGTCTTTGCACATTTATTTATATTATAGAAGTAGGCTCCGGTTTAATTTATGTTGAGTTTATCCTTTTGCACCAGAAATATGTATTAATTTCTCCCATCAATCTCCCCTGATCACATTTGCCTCTCCAACTAACCCTCCTTCCTTTTTCCATCTCAACTCACTGAATGCATTCTCTGCAACTGCCTTCCAGAGGTCCTGTCCTCTAAATCCATTCTGGACCTTCTTCAGTCTGGCTACTGTCTCTTGCACTTCACCAAACAGGCTCTCAACAAAGTCTCTTGTAAACTCTTCTGGGCCAAATTCAGGACCAATACTTCATGCTCATTCTCCTCAAACTCTCAGCTGCCTACAACCCATGCTTCTCTTGAAGTTTTATCTCCCTTAAGTTTTTTTGACTCTGCACTCTCCTGTTGCTTTTTCAGTGTCTCATTTGAAGTCTCCTCCTCCTCATCTTTCCTCTCCAACTTTCTATGGCGGTCTGATAGGACTCTGTTCTTGATCCTCTTCACATCTCCCTCCACAATTTATCTCTGGATAATCATATTCACAAAACACCTCTGCACCTATCATCTTGATGCAGACTACACACAGAGCTATCTTTCTACTGTCTCCTTCTGTCCAAACTAAAATCTCAGCCTGTCTTTCCAACATCTCTTGGCGGATATTCAGCTGTCATTAAGGTCAACAATAGGTTACAAGGCCCTAATCCAGAATAAGGGCTCCTGCAATATTACACTATCCTATTCTGGATTCCCCACTGCAGACTACTGAATTTAAACTGATTGCTGAATATCCACAAGGAGATGTTAGGAAGACAGGCTAAAATTTTGGTTGTGACTGACCTATCTATATCTATATCTTTTTTGGAATAAATTAATAGATAAATATCCTAATTTTACAGAGCACACTAGAATTTATGGAGAACAGAATATGCAGATGGTTCCCTGCTGCAGCTTGTCTGGACAACAAGTTTCTGGACTGACTCTGGAACTAGTTTGGAGAAGCATGACACTTAAAGACATTACAGCATGGGTTTGGTTCTACTTGGTAATTACAGAGCTGGCAGAAATATGTGCCAGAGCTGCTGAGCCCTAATGTTGTCACAGCACTTATTACACCTATAAAATGCTCAAAAGTTATCTCCTTTCAAAGGAAGGAGTTAAATGGTGTCAAAAATTCTATTCTAGGGGATTATCCACAGAAAGAAATACAATCAGGAGCTCTATCAGTTAGTGTTTCTCTTTATCTTAGGCCATGTCTTCTTCACTAAGCAGGAGATCAATACTGCCACAATTGATCTTCCGGAATTTGATTTAGCAGATCTAGTTAAGACTTGCTAAATTGAACTCAGAGGACACCCTCATTAGTAGCTGGTACTCCTGCAACGAGTAAGGGAAGCAAACAGGAGCATTTGCTCTTGTCGGCCTCCTGCTGTGGGGATGGCAGGGAAACTCAAATCAAGGTATGGGACTGAGGAGGTTGGAAATGGAAATAAAAGTTAATGAATGAGGCTAATTTTTAGGTAGTCCAGCATTTGTTTTGGGTGCATTATGGACATACCTCACATTAAAAAAAAATACCAAATAAAGAGCAGCAGGAAAAAGTAAGTATTTTAGAATCCACTTAGGATCCATTCAAAGCTGTTCAGTGTCATTTGTTAATATTTATCTGATCTTACAAATATAGCCAGTAAATAGCATTTAAATTTATCATTGCGATCTCTTAATATAGCACGTTTTCCCTATTCTGATAATTAATACAGAATTTTGCATGTCTGTGAATATCTGAAAACAAAGCAAAAAGTGTACTTACATCTTGTACTCTACCAATAATTGAATCACCAATCCTTCTCTGGAAAATTTCTTTGATGCTGCTGAGCATATTCTTAGCTCTCTGGGACTCATGAAGCAGTGGACAAACATCACTACTAACATAATTCTGTTTATGCAACAAGAAGGGGAAAAAAGATTGAAAGGATCCCACAATTCCTATGTTGTATTCAGTGTAGTAGCTGTGTTAGTCCCAGAATAGTAGAGAGATAAGTTGAGTGAGGCAATATCTTTTATTAGGCCAACTTTTGCTGAGAACTTATTGGGCTCAACTTTTGAGAGAGAGAAACTTTTGAGAGTCATGGAGCTGAAGAAGAGCTCTGTGTCTTGAAAGTTTGTGTCCTCTCACCACCAGGTATTGGTCCAATAAAAGATATTGTTCATCCACCTTGTCTCAATGACTTTTCACAGAAAAACATCAGGCAAAATGCAAGCTCATCTGAAACTAGTATACTGGTTATTTTATGGGCACTACCAATGATTCTACCTTGAAGAACAGAGTTAAATGTAATTGTATCTAATAAGAGTGATTACAAAAATGTTGCTCATTATTTAGTGTACAAGAAATCTTTGAATTAGTCTTCAATTATAGAGCCCATAGCTTCTATGCTACTTGGAAGTTAGACAAGTGGTCACCAATCAGCACGGCTGTGTCCCCCCAGGGAGGTAAAAGAGTACAGTTGGGGGGCACAGGAGGGCCAGGTCAACTATCATTTGGGGTAGGAAGAGAGCACCACCCAGTCCCACTCCCTGCTCTGCTATGGTTCTGGCCTGGGCCCCCACTTCTGATCCCCACCATAGCCTGGCCAGGGCTTGCTCCTGGCCCAACTCTCACCATCAGCCCCTGTTCTCAGGCCCAAGTGGAGCTCAATTCCTGGCTCCAGCCTCAGCCTTGGCCCTCTTACCCCATCCCCTCCCAGCCCAATCCTGGCTATGGCTCTGGGGGTGGGAGGAATGAAGCAGACAGGGACAAAAAGGAGCAAGATGATGACAAGTCTGGGGATCACTAAATTATAGTGCAATAAATGCAGAGTCTATCTGCACAAGTCTCCTGCATCTGAGAGTGTTCCCGATTCTAGAATGCCTTTACATGCATGTTTAATGTAAGCATGAGAACATATGTCACCAAGAGTGATTGCATGAAAATAAATACATAAATAAACAAAAGAAAAAGTTGTCCTATGTACTTCTAGCCTAATCCTACCTCACTCTTTGAAGAATAGCAGTGATAACGGCTTCCAGTAACTTCTGCAAGGTTCTTTAAAACAGCCTATGTTCATGAAGAGAAGAACAATAACTTAAGATTTGGGCATCACAATGTGTACGATTTCTTGATGCTAATTGGTTCTCTAAAACAAACAGAGGAGCACCCTCTGTAGCAAGGAATGTAAATAATTTTAAGATACTATCATCTTTTCTAGTTTGTTAAATTTAGGAATAGGAAAAAAAAACCCTGAGAAACTAACATAGCTTGAAAAAACTGATAACAGCTGACAAAACTGGTCACAGATAGGCTTCACCTCTGGATTAAAATGCCATAGTTAAGCCTCTTCCTTCTAAAAGGAAACTAGTTTATAGAACTCACTACTGGAGATTTGAGGTTTCAAATAAATTTTTGAAAACATAATGTAACACTTCTGTAAACCCATGAATATACAAAACATCTTTATATAGCTCAAAAGAAATAAAATAACAGGTTATTATTAAGACACATAAAAATGATTACTTACAGGAGGAACATGATTGCTACACTCATATGTAATGGTATGTATCAGCAGCTTTCTTCCCAATGTACATTGCTGAATATAATCAGACAATATTTCCAAAGACTGATCAGGGCTGATGAAAAAAGACATCAACAATGACTTCAGCTTTTCAGCATGACCTTTTCAGGTTGATGTGCATGTGGCAGGAATGGAGGAAAAATATCAAATCACAGGAATTTAAGCATTAGGTAAAAAGGATTACCGGCTATTTTGTAACTTATCATACATTTGTATATTTGCTCTCTTTTCAACAGTTCCTAGAGTGTGGATCTACTCTGAAAAGCAAGTCCTAAAATAGTTTAACAGGATTCCATATTTCTGTACTGATCAAATTTACTTGGTTTGTAAGTTTCTATGTGGTGCTGGGCAAGCCACATATAACAAAATTTCCACTGGTATTCACTTCCATACGTAACTAAAGACTGTATCATAATGCATATGCACTAAAGGGGCAAATTAGGTGTGCCTGAGCAACGCCCATTCTGGCTTTTCCTAGTCTGAGAATGCTTGACTTGTTAATTATCTTGTTAATTATGTATTTTTGTTAATTATCTTGTTAATTATGTATTTTTGTATTTATTGAATTTTAATTTATATATCAGAGCAACCTTAAATGGTGTTTTTCACTTTGAATTTTTAATAGAAATCAAATATTTTATACATGTGCTATTTAATTAATAAAGAACTTTCACATAGGTTGACTTTAGTGAATTAACCTCAGACTCCAATTTTTATTAACATTTTTCTTTGTGAAGCTCTATATTTCACCACTCAGTGCCACACTAATGTATTGAAAGTAGTTTAATTAAACTGTATTCTAATATAACTTTTTAAATGCAACTTCAGTTTTACCAAAAGATCTAAATTACTATCTTAACTGTGATTAGGGCTACAATGTTTCTCTTTTAAAAAAGGTAACAAAAATCAGAAAAAATATAGTCTCCAGTTTATAAGAAGCAGATAAATAATCTACATGAAAAGGAGCCAGACTTTTATATCTTCATGTAACCTTTTTTTGAGGAAAGGAACAAGCAATAAGAGAAGAAATAGTGCAACTTTCACCAGTACACAGCCAAAGGGGACACCAGAAGCTTATCCAAACTCAGCCTGCTTTCCTTACAACTCCCCCTGTGACTATTCATTGAAAAAATATTATGGGAGTCTGAAGTAAAACAGTTAACCAAGGCAGCCCAAATAAACTGAAGCGAGTGAGTAATGAGTGGCTGATGTCACAATATTACTGTTCAAGCAGCACCAGGGAGAAACATGTGTACTATGTGTGCACATAGGTCTGTACGTATAGGGTTGGGGATGGGGGAAAGAATTAGGCTTTTCCACTATTCCAGTTTCCTCAGATTTTCTAAAATCCATCCTCATTCCACACACAATTGAAATAGTGGCTGACCTTTGATTCAAATTCTCCACAGCACAATTAGAAAAAAAGAATTTAAAAAATGGGGAAACACTAAGATTCACACTCTTTAAAACAGAAAATTAGGGTGCAACCATAACACTAATTTTGTGTAGTGGCATGGCTGGGTACTTCCAGGTGCTCCACTGAGGTGGGCTTTGGCTCACTAGCTCATTGTCCTTTCTGTGCTATCCCTCCGGGGGAAGTGGGGGGGCGGGGGTTGGAGAGACTTAGCTCCAAATGTTCTTAAATGAAAATCAAGTCCAATTCAACACTGGACCATCTTCCATTGTTCCCATAGCATGTGTCCATGCCCTTTATTTAGGCTTGGTTGCCAAACTACCTCTTTCTTGTGTGTGGTTCATTCGATAAGATCACACTCAGTGGTTCTCAATCTGAGGCCCAATTAGAACTCAGCTGCAGTCCATGTGACAGTCTCAGGATCATACAGGTAGTATTGGATTCAGCTCACAATGGTAAATAGATTGAGAACTACTGATCTAACTTCTCCTCCAGGCTGCTGCTCTGACTAGCAGGCCTCACTCTATGCAACTCTGCAGGCAAAGTTTCCTTTGGGCAGAAAGGCAGAGTTCCATCCTCCTTGGTCAATCAGGTCTGAACTGAGCTAGGCTCTCTTCTTTGAACTCCAGGTTTGGCACTGGCTGCAGGTACAGCAGTTGATTGGGCTAGCTAGGCCATGAGCTCTCGTTAAACTCTTTACTGCTGTTGTGGGACTACTGAAAAACCACAATAAATCAGACCTCCCAAATCTGAAAGCCTTTGGATTTATATCATGTTAGCAAAGCTGTCTCCTTAATCTATCTTTCAAATAAATTTAATAAGTAAATATAGCAGAAATAGTGCATATAGATTAACTAGACACTCACCAGAGTACTTTGTATACTATCTTTTTCTTGCCCTCACTCATTCATTTCAATTATGCAAACTTAAAAATTGACACCAGGCTGCAGAATTTAAGTCCAAAATTTGTTTCAGATCAACACTGAATGTTGCCAAAGCATTATGGATTCTATTTTTTAAATCATTCCATCAGCTTAATTGCTTGTGATCAAATAAATCAGATTAGTATTAACACAAAATGCTACTTTACAAAAGTTAACTAATGATTCCAGAGTCTTGCACTTTCCTACTGAAATCCTCAGTGGTGAGATGAATTTTTATTGACACAATACTAGAAGTAGGAATTCTATTGATCAACAACAGAAGAAATTTGGAAAGGAAAATTATTTTCAGATTGGTACAGAGACAATTAGAAAGTAATAAAAATTAAAATAAAAAACAGAACACACTCTATGGGGGAAGAACTGAAGAAAGGGAAATACCAATAATGACTCTTTAAAGATTAAGAAACCTAGCATAATACGGTCAGATGGAAAGTATATGTCTGAAGCTTATAATTCTTTACACAAGTTAAAGTTTATTGCCAATTTAGATTAGTGGACCTACCAGCTTCCTACAATAAGAATCAATGAATTCAGTTCCCTCATTGTAAAGGCCTTCTTTAAAGCTTTCAGCAAATTGCAGCCTCCACTGGGTTGCAGCCCCTGAACCCACTGTCTTGCTTCATGTAGGCTGGAAAGACAGAAAATGTTACTGTACACTTAAGCAAAGTATGGCCTTTCTTATTCAGCATCAATCTGGTTGATGTTTCAGATCAACTGTGTGATTTACCTGTGTGAATAAGCAGACACTTACATTTCACTCACAATTCATTTTTGTGTTTTTTTCTGGCAAATCACTGAAGGCACAAAACTACAGCTACAATTTATTATGAGCACCAAACTCCTCCTAATAAAAAAAGGCCCTGTTTTGAAAACTGACTGTTATAAATTCAGAAACATACTTACACATGCACATTGACATTTGTTGGATTCTCCCACAAATATGAAATTTCAGCACCAAAGGAGAGGAAATATAATTGCTTCTTATAGCACAGCTGCTCATCTATTAGACACTTAATAAAAAATGTGAGTAAGTAACATCTCTGCTATTACTGGAGTTATCATGTACAAGAAAAAACATTGTTATGTGCTAAAGTCAGCCCAGACTGTAGCATTCTGGACAACCATGCAGAAAAACTTGGGTCAGAACAGAAGTGATACAAATTGGCTACGTCTACACTGGCATGATTTTCCGGAAATGCTTTTAACGGAAAAGTTTTCCGTTAAAAGCATTTTCGGAAAAGCACGTCTAGATTGGCAGGACGCTTTTCTGCAAAAGCACTTTTTGCAGAAAAGCGTCCGTGGCCAATCTAGACGTGCTTTTCTGCAAAAAAGCCCCGATCGCCATTTTCGCGATTGGGGCTTTTTTGTTGAAAACAAATCTCTGCTGTCTACACTGGCCCTTTTGCGCAAAAGTTTTTCGGAAAAAGACTTTTGCTCGAACGGGAGCAGCATAGTATTTCCGCAAAAGCACTGACAATGTTACATGAGAGCATCAGTGCTTTTGCGGAAATTCAAGCGGCCAGTGTAGACAGCTGGCAAGTTTTTCTGCAAAAGCAGATGATTCTGCGGAAAAACTTGCCAGTCTAGACTCAGCCATTTAGTTTTAGTCTGGCACACAGAGATACAGCAACTTAATTTAGTCCTTGTGCACCATCCTGATATGGTATTCCCATTTAATCAGGAAATGAGGAAAATACATACTGTGTCAATTTCATCAGCTCCCTTTAATAGGCAAGCAAATGAGAAAGAAATGGTATTTATTTATTCAGAAAGTGCATGTTCACCTATCGAACTGTGATCATATAAACAACTGAAAAAGAATGAAGCACCTATGATAGGATGTCAGATAAAAGTAGACTTCTCTGCCAGGGTTATATTTTAGTTAGAGCATTCTAGGCTCTACTCAACTGGAGCAAAAGTGTAACAAATGTCTTAATGTTTTTTTTACTTACGGTACATACATAAACAAAGAAGTAAATACCAGTGAATTTTAAGTAACCTTCACTGGTATATAAAGAAAAAGTATACAGAGAAAGCTTCAAAAGCAGAAAATAGAACAGATATTGTCAATTTGAATATTAAACAAATAATTTATACTTTAAAAATGAGTAAGGTAAATCTTTATATCTCCAGCAAATTAACTTTTAATACTTTGAATAAACAAGTGATTGTTACACTTACTTTCTCCCCTTGCAGTCGGAGAGTCTTATTTAACATATTTTAAGAGTCAGAGTGTCTTTCAGAATTATTTACCAAAAGGTCTTTCTGGAACTGGAATAGATGAAGTCCACAACTTGTATCAGAAACATCAACCAGGAGTCCAACTTTGTTCCCTTTTATAAGGCCAAACACCTAAACAAATAGAATATTCATTTAAATACTGAAATTTAAAGTTAGATCAGTACACAGTATGTACTTCTTTATGCTGCAATTTTTTATTTAAAAGATTACATATCTATTGTCACTGTTACCTTTTAAGCATTGAAAAAAAAAAGACAATAGCAGAGCAAAGAGAGAGAGACTGGAGTTTTTAATTCTAGTTTATGTTCTGAGCAGTGTTCTCTCTAATCTTTTTCATCTATGTGCAAAATACATTTTGTTATGTGCACCAAAACACGTGCAAATGTGCACCCCTCAGTAGAAACAAACCTAGCTGTAGCTGCTTTACTTACTCAGGTGGGCAGCATTTAAAACTGAGTGGCCACACAAGTGCACAGCTTAAAGGGAACACTGGTTCTGAGTGGGCAACATGCACTCTGCTCCAAGATTACATGTTTATTACTTGAGAAAACGAAGGATTACTCAATACCACAGCATCCCCATCAGGCCAGTCATAGGTGCTAGCTTTCTGGAAGCTCTCGATACCTTAATCCCTGTTTATATAAACTATGGAGGTAACAGTCAGAAAGGTAATAGAGAAAGGAAGGGGCTATGTTTAAAGAGTAAAATAGACATATGAAAGACACTCAAAACATATCCTACATGAAGCACCAATCAACTGACAAGATAAAACATTGCTCCATGGTGCTATAGTTACTCACAATATAGAGAAAATACAAAAAAGATTTCTGGGAGAGACTCTAGACAACCATTAAATAATTAGTTTATCCCTTAACATCATATGCACGTTCCCCTTTAAAAGTATATTAAAAAGTTAATATTACCTTTCTGCTGTCCGTCAACAACCACTGTATTCGTTGGTGATAAAGTTCAATTGCTCTGATAAAATACAGTGCACACATTTAAATAAACTGATATACCATTCAAGAGAATGCATTAAGGTCAGATCTGTTTTTATCATCAACCAAATTTTCTATGAGGTACACAACCATCTTCTACAAATATTCTATTTACAATGTTCCCAAACTGTGATACACCAACAGTGTTATTTAAATACTTCTTTCTGTGCACTTAATGGATTAAATATATAATTGTCCTGAAAAAATGAGATCAGCAGAATGTTCTCTATTAGTTGTGTTTGGATAATGTGTGTGAAAGTATGAAAGAGTTCAGTTAAAATTTACGTCAATTCATCCTATCAATTTAGCTTATTGGCTAGAGATTTATTTAATCCAAACTGTACAAAATGTTTTTGAAAAAGGGTAAAGTCTCTTGCCTAAGTGACACAAGGAGCAAATTTATCAAAATTGAAAAACGTTGCAGTGTTTCTATTACTAATCACTTTTTCCATTATTAACCAATTTTAAAGGATTTATAATTGGGGTGAAACTTATCATTTGCCATCCCAGACCTACAACAAACTGTTTCAGAATTATTTTTCAACAACTTGCTTTTCAACAGCATGCTCGTGATTTTGGGACTGAGAAAAAGTTAAAAGAAAGGATTTTTCTGAAAAAGCTCTCACTTCCCTGGCAAGAAGTCTATATTTAATCATTTTTACCAAAATTTTGCAGGCAACTCATTCATAATGCAAGATAGTAAGGCGCATTCTGAGGAATCTGGGTCTCTGTAACTGATACATGCCAGTAGATTTAGGAACTAGCAGACAGATATGGAAGATTGAGAGGATTATTATAATATTATTCTGCAGTATACTTAACATATTTATCAGATCTGTTCTTTAAATGTAAATGTCCTTGATTTTTGAAGGTTTGTCTTAAAATTGTGGTGACTTTATGGCTGTTCTTGTTTATTATAATTATCTGCTAATTTATAGTTTTAAATAGAAAAAGCACACACTTTAAACTTCAAATACAAAGTTTTTTCCTCCCTCCCTGAAACATGCATGCATGCTTTTTTTACCATATGAGAGCATAGGTGGCTTAGGTCTCATAACAGGCTATACAGCCTTTCATTGTTAGGTCAACAATTTGAAATAAACCCAGGTCCATAGCAAATAAAAATCATTACTATCTGAAGGACATTCAAGCTACATCTATACTGCAGCCATCTTGCGCAAGAGTGTATCCACACTGCCATGTGCTTTTGCGCAAGACAGCGTCCACACTGCCATGGATGCTCTTGCACAAGAAAGCTCTGATGGCCACTCTGTGAATGGCCATCAGAGCATCTGTGCTTTTTCTGATAGGGGTTTCTTGCGCAAGAAAACCCCTGTTGCACAAGAAACCGTTGTCTGTCTGCACGTGCCTTTTTGTGCAAGAGCTCTTGCGCAAAACGGCTTATTCCTTGTAGAAAGAGGAATAACTCTTGTGTAAAAAGCCCTGTCTTCTGACGATCTACTGTACTTTTTCTTGGGCAAAAATAAGCCTCCAGTGTAGATGTTCTGTGAGTTTTTGCGCAAAAACTCTGCAGTGTAGACGTAGCCTCAGAGGCCTGAGTTGATTGCCTCAGTACAGATCCTACATAACAGGTATTACAGCAAACCTACCACCACAAAACCTACCATCACCAGAGGTTCAAATGGACACTGTGAAAGCCTATATTCCTCAAAGATTGACTATCTGTACTGAAGTATAATAAAAAGACAGCATGCGGGAAGCTTTCAAAGCTGCTGTGTTTTTTTTCATTTGTTGCAGCTCCAGGGTTGACATAGTCCAACATCAGACATTAAAAAATTCACTTTAAAACTATCTATGTTTGGAGGAAGGAAATCACTCATACTTCACAACGGTAGCACATATTATATACTTACTCAGAAAGCTTGGATTCAAAATGTACAATTGTCTTGGCAGTAAATGCTATCTGTTCTGTGGCATTTCTTGCATTCCTAGAAGGAAATGTATATTTAACATGAATAATGAAAGCAAATGGATTGATTAAGAAGGGATTGGATTGTACTTACAAGACAATATTGCCCTCTCTTAGGAGATCTTCTAATGTTAATTGCATGGATTCTAAACTGTGATTTCTAAGCCATTCTTCTGTGGTTTGCACTTCATGGGACTTCAGCTTCCTTTTTTGTACTTTCTATCAATCAGAAGCAGTAGAAAAGTTAAAAGTAGTAATAGGAAATAGCAAGTGTGCTTCAAATATAACCAGTGCTGAGGGATGGCAGGAAAGAAGTACTATTTGGCAATTAAACTATTGACACAAATCCACTTGCAGCAAGCAGAAGCCTTTGGGATCTGGAACAGAAGGAATGCTGCCTGGAGTGTATTACAGCAGACACCAAAGAAGATGTCTACTACATAGTTTTAACAGGTATTATAGTCTGTTATTTTCTCTTGGAACATAATACAGTGATGCTCATTAGTAGCAACATATTGGTACTCTTTTGCTACATTGCTTCTAAGCAGCTGTTGCGGGTACGATGAGTGTCAACAATTCAAAGTATAGAAAGTGCTCCCAGGGGAAATGCAGCTCAAAAGTAGTGGTTGCTCTAAAATAGTGTTGCTGCAAACAAGCACTTGTAATTTAATATGAAGTGTTCATACCAGTAATCCCCAGGTCACTGTGATGTCACTAGAGGTCACTGTTTCTCTTCATTTTCCTATTACAGGCAGTCCCCGACTTACATGGATCCGACTTACGTCGGATCCCTAGATACGAACGGGTGAGGCAACTCCCGCACATGCGCAGCAGCATTCCCGGGGTTCGCTCACCTGGGTCCTAGGATCCTCCTCCTCCTCGGGCCGGCTCCGACTGGGGTCCCGCAGAGCTGCCGGGCAGAGGAAAAGTGCCTCCCCACGCCAGCAACAGGCTGCCCCCTCCCCTGAGCAACAGGCTGCCCCACACACCAAACAAAAGCAGCCTCTCTGCCCCTCCTCCCCTCTATACATGCCGGGCTCCCGGAGCGCAGCAGCGTCCCCGGGGCTCGCTCACCTGGGTCCTAGAATCCACCTCCTCCTCCTCTTCGGCCGGCTCCAACTGGCCTCTGCCTGCAGCAGCTGGCCACAGGGACAGGGATCCTGCAGAGCTGCCGGGCAGAGGAAAAGTGCCTCCCCCCGCCCGCTGCCCCCCCCATGGCCTCGCATCCTGCACGCCTCCCCCCTCCCCCCCTGCCAGCAACAGGCTGCTGAACAGCAGACAAAAGCAGCCTCTCCGCCCCTCCTCCCCCTATACATGCTGGGCTCCCTGGGCAAACAAAGACTCCACCAAAACAAACAAAGTGCTGGCCTCATTGTGTTAGCAAAAAAGGACCCTCCTCCTAGAACCCTGGGTGGTGTGTGGAAATAAAGCTATTAGCTCAAAGCATGGTGCAGAGCTGTTTGGTATTTGATGAGTTACTCCTTTAGTCCTGAGTTTGTCACAGGGACAGAAATAGATGTGAAATCTTCTGAACAGGGGAACAGACAGCAAAACAAACATTAGAGGGGAGTTAACCTTTCCCTATGCTATCCAAAACTAAAAAAAATGTTTGGCTAGAGTTTACCCTACAATATGTACCAGTTCCGACTTACATACAAATTCAACTTAAGAAAACCTACAGTCCCTATCTTGTACGTAACCCGGGGACTGCCTGTATTATAATAGCCTAATTATCCATAGAACGAAAAAGAACCATAAGCTATTCCTCTTATTGTTGTTGTTTTTTAAAAGAAACAACAAAAAATTAAAGAAAGAAAGATGTAAGAGTTATATTGCTACATGTAAGAGAAAATAACCATTAAGGATACTAGCTATGATTTTTTGTGTGTGTATAAAATAAATGGAGTTGTTGATGTAAAACACTGATACACATGAAAGTTGATACCTAAAATACAGAATTAGACACTCAATAGCATTTGCTCTTGTTTCTTTCTGAATATAAACACAGCAACATGTGAAAAAGTACATGTTAGAGCAGAAAGGTATGTGGAAATTGTAGTTAGAAAGATCTTATTTTGTGAATCTGAGACAACAAAGAACTGCTGATAAACACAGTAGCAACTAACATGCAAATGAAAAGAATTATCATGGCCAATCCAGCTGGTCTAGAGACTGCCATTAACTAAAGAACCTAATATATTTCAAACACTGGATAACCAGAGAGTCTGGTAAAGAACATGCATGTACAAGTCTCAATAATGAAAATGAAAATCTTATTTGCTTCCAATAGCATTGCAATGTACTATGCATTTTCCAATCAGACAAGAAATAATGGTCCCTGATCTGAGGAACTCACAATTTAAATAGAAGATGTAAGAGTGAGGAGTACAAAATAGAGATAGTGTGGTCAAAGGTTTGATAGGCCATGTCACTACAATAAAATTAACATGGTTTTAAATTAAAAAGTCAGATTATTTTAATTAGTATACTTAGAAGTATAAATTCTAAAAATAATTTCCCCATAAACATCACAGCTGAAGTGGGTCTTTAGGAAGGATTGTAATGCAGAGAGGACAGATCCCTTGTCAATGAGCTGAGGAAGGGCATCCCTTGCATGTGTATAGTATGGAAGAAGGGATGGAGATATTTATGTAAGAAACTAAACAATGGGCGGGCGAAGCTAGTATTGCTGGTGGAATGAAGGGATAGAGAGCAATTCAAAATAACAGAAGGGTACATAATAAATTATGCAGGGCTTTGAAATGTCCTTAGCCTGATTCATTGATAGAAAGGGTAGAATATTTTGGGGTGATGAGAGTAGATGAAAATTTAAACATCTACAAAAAGTTTATGGATCTAAACATTTATAATTTTAGTTTACTATACAAGAGATATACCTGCTGGTACACAGACCTCCTCAAGAAAAGTTGCCTCTATTCACTGTAGATCTGGTGATAAAAATCACTGTGTTCTTTTCTGGGGTGCATATGGGACATAGAACATTAATTTTCTGTCTCCTCATATATTCCCTTCTATATATTTAATGCAAGCATACATCAGCTGAGGAATTACTACATTTAGTAAGAGTATTTGTTTACCAGTAGGTCTTGCGTCTGGTTGATGTGCGTAACCAGTAAACCATTATCAGGCTCCAAATCAGTTATTGTAATATCATGCCAGGATGGTCGGCCTTTCACGGGAACTGTGCCAGGTCCTATGCTTACACTACAAAATAAGGCATTTCACAAACTGGGTAGCTATATTTGCATCACTGAGAATGCTGTTGCACCATCAAATAGTCCGCTTATAAAATTGCTCATTGTCACCCATAAACATTAAATATTCTGCTTTATGTTCTACAATTAAGAATTCATATGCCATTTTAAGCATCCTAACATACAAATTAATGGGAAAATATAGATTGCATCACCTAAGATGTATATTTCATTCAATTTAAGCACTCCCCCCATAATGATTTCCTTACCCTACTTTTTCCAAGAACTGATCATTGTCCAATAATTGAGCCATTTTTCTGGTTTGGGCATCCATTGGATTTATGACCAAATATGTAATGTTCTTTTAAAAAGAGAGACATAGCATTAAAGAGTGGAAGTTTAGAATATCAACAGTAAAAGCTAGACACAAATGCTTGACACAAGATATCACTTTCCTAGGACTATAATCCCATGGATATAAATCAATAAAAACCACATACTTAACCAGGGGTAGGCAAGATATAGCTTGCTTGGCTGCCAAGCCAATCGAAACCTGGGGGACAGGGAGTGCGTGAAATAATTAGCTGTTCAAAGCAGCTGGCAGCTCTCCCCCTGCTAGCGGCACACAGAGCCTAGTGGGAGCCACCAGCCATTTTGAACAGAGAATGACTTTGCACACTCCCTTTCCCCCAGGCCAATCAGGCCCTGGAAGTGGGGCAGTGCAAGAAGTCTCTTCCCCCTGCCAGGGGCACGCATGGCGCCTAGAGGTAACTGCCAATTGTTTGAAAAGGCTGGCAGTTCCTTCTAGGTGCCGTCTGACCCAGGTAGGGCGGAGAGCAAGAGACTTTACATGCTCCCCTGCCCCTAGACTCCGATTGGCCTGGGGTGGGGGAAGATGCAAAGTTTCTTCCCCCTGCCAGAGTCACGTGGCACCTAGAAGGAGCTGCCAGCTGTTCAAAATGGCTGGTGATTCCCTCTAAAGTGCCACATGCTCCCCTGCCCCCAGGCTCTAATTGGAAGTCTCCTCCCTCCACCAGGGGCATGCAGCACATAGAGGGAACTGCCCTTTTTACCTGAGGCCCCACCCCTTCCACCTGAGACTCCACCCCTGATGGGGGGCCCATCCCTTGATCACCTCCCCAAATTTTTAAGTGGGTCCCCTGCAAAAATTATTCCCCATCCCTGTACTTAACTGTGTTGTACCTGAAAAAAAAAAAAAAGAAAAGAAAAAACAAAACAAAACCAGTGACAGTTACCTTACATAAAAATATACGTGGACATCATTTTGCTAGAAGTCATTCATCAAGGGTTCTATCCAATAAAATGTGTGTCCAAAATTGCTGGGAAACTGTGTGTTGGCTGTTCAGCTCTACCAGGAGAAAGGTAAACCCACCAAAAATAAGAACTCTGCAGCTGAGAATTAGATGTAAGGAGTTAGAGAGCTTATAAACACCACAACTCAGTGAACCTATCTCACTTCACATCACCAGAAGAAACCAAGAGAATTACTATAGTCTTAGAGTTAAAGTGGAACATGCAGGTTGCAAGCTATCGCCACAGAGGCAATCTGCCATTCTGATTTCATGTTTCTTAATTCAGTCAAGATAATTATTTCTTTTTAAAAATCTTATTTTTGCCAAGATATTTAAGAGAAAACCAATAACGTAAATGTATTCTGTTTTGCATAGCAAGACCACACAGGAAAGTTTAGGTCCATAGATCTAACTTTTTTGATTAGTCTGCTTCAGCAATACATTAAATACTGTACAGACACACAGTTATTTTAGTAGCACACAATTTTCAGGGTATTATTGATTTATAGAGCCCTGTGTGGATACAAAGTTTGTATCTGTGCCCACAAAAATGAGCCGCAGATAACCTCACTGTGAAATTCTAGATACAAAACGTATATCTGCATCCACATCCATATTTACAAAACTGAGCTGAGATATCCACATCCACATCTGCGGATTCGGTTACCTCTGGATATAAAATGGATATGATGTCTTTGCAGAGCTCTGCTGATTTGGAACCAATAATTCTCCTTTTTCCATCTGTTTTATCACATATGAAGCATAAATAATGTTGAAGTAACGGTACAGACTTCTTAAATGTTCTTTTTCAAACTACGTTTGTACATTTTCAAGTTTCTTTTCTGCCATTTAATTATGGTCCACTGATGATGCCGTAGATATGAGACTAAGCTAATAAAATAATAAATAGTAATAATAGTAATAATGGAACCCAAACAGTATGAAGCACAAATGCAATTATTTAAACATCTTCTATGTCACCACTTACACTAAACCCAGATCAGCCCACTAAACATGGGTATTTTGGGTTTATCTAGTGGTTGGATGTTCTCGTTTACTTTGTGGGTAGACAGATACTACAGTTAGCCCGTGACTGGGCATTGCCACTATATTTACCTGAACCTTCACCATTTTACATCCCAGTCCTGTATTAGAGAGACAAGTGGGGTGACATAATATATTTTACTGGACCAAATGCTGCTGGTGAGAGAGAGAAACTTCTGAGAATACACATGGCTCTTCTTCCGGTCTCAGAAATGTATATTCAGGGTGTGTCTGTTCAACCCAAGACAGAACCGCTCAATAAGCATAAGCAGTTACTAGCTGTATGGCACGTTACCTAGCTCATAGAACCGGAAGGGACCTTGCGAGGTCATTGAGTCCAGTCCCCTGCCCTCACCCAACAGTAATCCCCCCTCTTCTTTCACGACTGGGAGCGGTGGGAAGGGGCCACTTGACTTTCAACGGAACGTGCGAAGGACTCGTGCTAAACCACCTGCTCTACCTTCATAGAATCATAGAATAATAGGACTGGAAGGGACCTCGAGAGGTCATCGAGTCCAGCCCCCCGCCCTCAAGGCAGGACCAAGCTCCACCTACACCATCCCTGACAGATGTCTATCTAACCTGTTCTTAAATATCTCCAGAGAGGGAGATTCCACCACCTCCCTTGGCAATTTATTCCAATATTTGACCACCCTGACAGTTAGGAATTTTTTCCTAATGTCCAATCTAAACCTCCCCTGCTGCACTTTAAGCCCATTACTCCTTGTCCTGTCCTCAGAAACCAAGAGGAACAAATTTTCTCCTTCCTCCTTGTGACACCCTTTTAGATATTTGAAAACCGCTATCATGTCCCCCCTTAATCTTTTTTCCAAACTGCACCTTGGGCGGAGCAGTGACACGAGGGCACGTTCCCGCCCTGAAGCAGCGCTGGGAAGTTTCTCTCCCGCCCCAAGAGACGCGGGGCCCTTAGACCCTGTTGCGTCCCCAGCCGGTCTCATTCCCACACCCCTCCGCCCCGCGTACCCTGGGACGCCGCGCTCTGACAGCCGCTGCCGCACGGCCGATCTTCCGAGGCAAGAGCCCGATCCGGGCGGGCCTGGTACCCTCAGCGCCCAGGGGGCCAGAAGGGCGCCGCCTCGGCGAGCCCGCGAGTCCCGGGCAGGGACACGGGAGCTGCGCAGTCACAGGGGGTGAAGCATCTGAGCCCTGGCAGGCGGGTGAGCCCGTTCGAGCTCAGCTCCCCTCCCCCCTCTGCTCTTCGGCCTCACCCCCGCTGGCCAGGGAAGAACAGGGGAGCAGCCGCCTCCGGCCCAGCCGTGTGTTAGCGCGTCGCCATAGAAACGGGAGGAACTATTCCCCGCCGGGGGGGGGGTCCAGCCTCACGCCGAGCAGTGGTACGCTCCGAGCGGCAGGGGGCTCGCAATCAGCGCAGACGGGGCCAGGCCTTTCGTAGACAATTTATTTTTGATAAATTTGCTCGATAACAAAAATACAAGTGAAGAAAAGTCTGTTCGTTTGCACAGTCTGTAGGAGCAGGGCAGGCGATCAGCGCCGGGCGGGGAGGAGCCCGCCGCCGCCGCAGCACAGGCATCCTGCGCCTAGGACCGCTACCGCCGAGGCCGGGCGAGCGAGTGGCAGACACCTCTTGCCTTCATCTTTTCCTTCCTTCGCGCCGTTTGCAGAGGCCAGCCTGGAGTTTAGCCATGTTTCCTGGTGAAGGGACATACCCGGGGCGGGCTGCAACGCTTTACACGGAGGCTCTGAAACAGCAGTACCGGTATAAGGAGAGGGGGACTAATCCTGCACCCATTTAAAGTCACCGCCTGGGAGTTTTCCTTGGAGTAAAGGCAGGAGCAGGATTAAGTCTGAGAGCTGTTACACCATACTAGCATTGTGGATCAGTTGTTAAATGCTCAGAGGCTCAGAAATGAAAGTTCAAATGGTGAATGGGTTTGTAAATGCTTTCAGAGAAACACACTGCCCCACAGAGAAACTACAAAAGCTTCTAGTGAGTTATTCCATATGTCTTCGAGAAAAGTTATACACATTTATAGTTTTTGTTTTTAAAGTATTTTAAGTTTCTGATTAGGACTTGAACATAACCAAACAAAACAACAAAATGCATACATAAATTGCATTATGCCATAACATTAAACCTTTCAGGTGATAATGAAGACTAAACAAGTGTGCTGTGACCTATTACAGACTAAACTGTCCTTCAGAAATATATAAAACGACTGGCAAAGTCTGAAAAACATTCTTAAACATGTAACATTGATTACCTTTGGAGAAGATTCATACAGATGTTTAGGCATGTTCAACAGGAACTTCCTGTAGTTTAAAAACTAATCCTTGTGCAAATAAAACCTATAAATAGTATTCAGCAGATTTTACAGTGATGCTCTTAGGTATGAAAATAATGCACACAACTTTAAAACAAAAGTAACAGACATAAGTTTGACAAATGATTGCACCATAGAACAGTGTTTTATATACAGTTTACAAGATATGATTTTCTGCTATAAATTAATACTGTACTGTATAAGTACTTAGTGACCTTATTACAAAGCAACTATTGACAGCTGTCTCTTTACGCTTACCAGGACCTTTTTTTAAAATGCAAATGGATCATCTATTTCTAGAATGAAATGCCCCAATATTAACTAAAACAGCCTGCTAGCTGAAGCTTTGCTGTCTTTAATGATTTATAGAACTGGCTAACCCACTAAGGTTCCAGCGAGCCATTTATGGACTGGATATGCTCCACAATTTTTAATTAAATGGTAATACATTGTAAATATAAGCTTAAATGAATATTATTATTATTATAATACAGGATGTCACTAACTGAAATAAGTAAACATGGGGAAAAATTCTTAGCAGCTGAGAAACTCTTCTCCCCACTCCCACTGTCTGTGATCCAGTTGAAAATATTTTAGGGAGCTATTTACAGTAAGACTGATGGATACAAAGTTATTAGCTTATCAAATTAATAAGTGAGCTATGGTTCATTAACCTATTATACCACCAGTCTGATGACAATGCAAATTTAGACACTACCCTCCCTATCCTACAATTGGATCCATCCAGATTGCTTTCATATACAGAGCTCCATTGATGTCAATGAAGCTCTAGATTTCCTGTGCAGCTATGACTGCAGAATCAGGATCTAAATTATAAACCAATCAAATTTGAACTAGCAGGTCCAGATGGGAATCTGACTATATATTCTTTTACTGAAAGGCTTTGATGTGAAAGCTTCCTTGGGCCCGTCAGTGAAGTGATAGGGTTTTTTTTAAACAAACATCAGAAAGTGATCCAATATATTAATCAGTGAATTTTTCCTCGCTAAAATACTTCTGATGGCACACAGTTCAAGATACTGTAATTGTATAAGGCAGGGGTGGGGAACCTTTTTTGGATTGGGGCCGCACACAAGTGAGAAGCCAAAAAATACCATTTTCCTCCTCACACACCAGAGTCTAGGGGAGCCCAGCCTAGTAGATTGTGAGCTTCAGCCCTGCCGGGCGGGGGGGGGGGAGGACTGGAGCACCAGCACAATCTCCCCAATGCTGGGGGACCCAAGCAAGCCGGGGGTGCATCCAGCCCCCAGGCCTCAGGTTCCCCACATGGGTATAAGGTATCTCATTTCTAACACTTTCTGCCATGATAGCTGTTTTTTCCAAAATAATGATACATTTCAGAAGCAATATAATCATTCTTACAGAAAAATGCACCCAGTTTCACTTATGCCTTACAAAAACATAGGCTTAAGTAAAACAGCTTTTTTCTTGAGTACATTTGGATAATCTATTTGCTGAAAAGAATTATGTTTGTCAATACTATCTCACAAAAAGAATACATGTTAACTGGGGAATAAGGGCTTGATCCTGCAAGCAAGCTTTCTGGGATTTCAAAGTTTTGTGCTAATAAAAATCAAACAAAGTGAATATTGAAAAATCTCACTATCCATGGATCCCAGGTTCTTGGGTTTAAAAAAATGATGATTTTAGGGGAAACTTACACTCTCAATTCAGATGATCCTTATGCCCACATTTTTTATCATCGACTTTAGTAAACAAGGCATATAGACATTAAAAATAGTTATATTGCTCATTTTTTGGTAAAGAAGATGAATTGACTTAATACTCACATGTGAATAAATTCATCCAACTTTACTACAGAATAGTGTGTTCACATGTTGACCTAAACACTGAATGTTATATGCATTAGAGAAATTCACCTATGGTAATTTGCTGTGCTTGAACATGTATAAATAAATCCGTTGTTAATGTAACAAACAAAGCAGTAGAAAAGAGACTCCCTGTACAACAGTTGCTAATAATTTAAATAGTGTCAGTTTCCCAAAATTAGGATTTTAACTTTAAGGTATGATGTGATCTCACCTTTTACCCTCATATACAAATAAATTACAATACAAAGAATTTTAGCTTAACTTAAAATTGCACCTAGAAAGACATGGGATTTTTTGTACCTATTACAAAAACCTGTTAAAATCAAGGGCTGCTACAAAGAATGAGGTAAACTGAAGACTCTCAGCTATGTGGCCTTCAGAGAAATGGCTTTTTCTATTGAGTCCTAGTTTTGCACACCACAGTGTTCTGCTAGCAAAGTGTTCTGAGTTATCTTCCAGGAATCGTTTATGTGTACGTGTGTATACACACACACATATATACACACACACAGTATACTGCATCAGTAATATATTATATGGAAGAATACCCCTCTCCCCTCAAAAAAGCTTTTTAGTGTTTTTCTATAGCTGAAGGGAGATGTATGTAATTTTTCTTGTTACGCATATTGTAAAGAACATATTTCGATCTATTGGCTTCTTGGTGCAGTAATGCAAGATGGATTCATTTGGTGCCAAAGGCTTTGCCCATCTGAAGAGAGATGTAAAATGCTAATCTCCTAAACTGTGAGGCCAGCCTCACTTTAACTCCTTTGCAATCCTCTAGTCTACCACAAGGTTCATAAATATTTTGATTTTCAAATTGTTAGACATTAAAAACAGATACAGTAACATGGGGCAATATGCTTCTCAGTGTAAAGCATTCTTCTTCACTAGTCCCTATCACAGTGCAGACCTGACTGCATTATTATGCTCAGGAGATTAGTCAACGATGTCTGTATTTGGTTATGGGAAAGGCTCTCTCTCTTTTTATTCCAAAGTGCATAATGAGAACAAGTCAAAGTATTTCTCTTTTCAGTAAGCATTTTGATAGTCTGATCTAGGCTCTCTTGAGAATGCAGCTCTGATGTCTTGCTCTCCTCTGAAACAAACTCATGCAGTTCACATATTCATCAGCCAGGTAGACAAACTTTGCCAGCAAATAGAAGTCCCACTATTGTAAAGAAAATGGATAAAACAAACAGTACATATGAGGACCCAACCACTGTGTTGTTGGGCAATTTATATGGTTGACCTCCAACTTCATTGATGTAAAATCCTATTGGAAATATTAGGGCTGCCATACAGAATAGGACCACTGCAAAACAAACAAAAAACAAAATCAAAGTTAACATCTTGTTGAAATTCAAAACTTTTGCCTGTTTTTAGGGAAACAGTGAAAAGAGTGAACACATATCCATGATTTGTTCTGTTTTAATAACAGAAGGCCTGCGATCCATCAATGCCTAATGCACAGGAAAAGTGATCATATGGGACATACCCTAATCTTAAGAGATCCCTGCTCTCTGTTCCAGAGGAAGGTGAAAAGAAAACTCAAGTTCCTTAGGTGAGCTGAGGGCAGAGGACTGTCCTAGTGGAGCCAGGAGTCAGACACAACCCCAGCACTGGAACCAGGAGCCGCCTGCTGCTGGTGGCAGCCCCAGCCCTGAGGCCAGGGCTGGAAGCCTCCTGATGATGACAATGCTAGTGGCAGCATCCCCAGGGCTAGGAGCCTCCCACCGTTGCCAGTTGCAGCAGGGCCAGGGCCAGGAGCCTGCTAAGTCAGTTAAATGTTAAGTTAACCTAACGTTTAATCAGTTAACTGATTAATCGGGATTTTACGTCCCTAGTTCCTGTTAGTCAGCATGGCACAAAGTTCATTTCTGATCCGCAGTTTTTCAATCATTTGAACTATGTTCAGAAGAACAAGAATCACTGTTAAAAAAAGAAGAATTGTAGAGGACACATTCTAATCTGATCACTATGCCTCAGAGCATTTTTATAGGTAGTTATTCTTTCCAAAAGTCAGTGTAGACTAACTTTCAACACTGAAGAAACTCACTTTCCATTAATAAAAAGAGGGGCCTTTTGCCCAAAAGTAGTTACACTTTCCTATTCTGCCACACAAATGCTTTACACATTTTCTGTACATGCTTTGCTAAAAATAGAAAACAGTTGTTTGCCACTACTATATTCTTTAGATTAATTAAAATAAACCACTGTTTTCTAAATGCTGAGACACTCCTCTAGAACACAAAGCATTCTGTTGAAATATAACCTCCTCTATAAAAGGCTTCAGGTTCAGATTACACAATACAGAGCAAGGATATAAGTGAGTAACCCCCTGCCCTCTGATACAGAAGCAGCAAGGGGTGGAGGAGTGGTTCTCCGCAGCACTGTCTACATGGTGCTGCCTGCCTGCATGCCTGGTTTTACTACACTTAAACTGCAGAGACGCAGCAGGGGTAGCCATCCCTTAGTGTCGAATCATGTAGTCGATAAAAACCTGTTTCAATTACACAGTTAGTGGATTACCAGCTTCTTAACATCCTTAATACAGAACACAGAGCAACTGATTTTTATTTCACTTGTATAGTTACGTTAATATGCATGGTTGGTGTTGCTTACAACACATATCACTTTGTGTAGGCACCCAAAAAAAAAAAAAAAAACCACAACCCTCTGCCAGTCACTATAAAAACCACTTAGTAAAATTACATAAAGGATTTCATTCCAGATGCGAATATGGGTTGACATTCCTTGCAGTACATTTTAATACTCAATCCACTACACAGCATCCAATATTGTCTACTCTGCTGACATCTTCTGTGTTTCTATAAGTGCTTGTGGCATAAATAATCTATTTATTATCAACCACAAGAGTCTGCAGGATACTAAGATCTTGACCAAGGCATGAAATGGTGTCCTGATATGGTTTTTAAGCAGCAACAGGATTTTCCTCATGATAAAAAGATCAGATATTGGTTGCTTTGATGCTGTATTTAAGACTATGTACAGGTGAAAAACAGTATTGGGCAGATACAGAATTTTAACTGGTAAAGTCATACAAAGCAACTATTAGGGTTTCTTTGCTCCTGCAAATCAACTTTTGTGCTTTACCCTGAAACAGTTAAATCATAATTAATAATTAAGATTTTCCAATACCACTCACCCCACACTAAGCTTACTACTTTAGGTGAAACAAACAAATCTGCACTGCCCTCACAAAAACTAAGCCAAACGTACACCAAATCTCCTTCCCTCATTCAAAAATCAATTCTAAAACCTAACCACCTCAAAAATCAATTTAACTCCTAATCAATTTTACTTCTACCTGAATAAGAGTATTTAACACAAGCTCCTCCTTTAGGGTTGCCAGGTGTCTGGTTTTCACCTGGACAGTCCGGTATTTGTAGCCCCATCCGGTAAAAAACCCAAAATACCTAACATGTATTTCTTGGACGGAAGGCTGGCGGGGACGTTCTTCCCCTGCCGAGTATGGTGGGGGGAGCGCGGGGCACAGGGCCCGCCATGTTTGGGATTTTTTTGTGAAAGTATCTGGCAACCCTATCTCCTTCCACTATCCATCAATTAATACTGGGCCTTATTTTTCTACAGAGTACACAAAGTCCTATACCAGAATCTTCTGCAGCACATTCCACTCCCAGCTTGTAAGAGCAGTGACTCCAGGGAATCTCTACTTCTTACCTCACCTTCTCATTCTGATATGATTGTTTGGGATTTTTTTGTGAAAGTATCTGGCAACCCTATCTCCTTCCACTATCCATCAATTAATACTGGGCCTTATTTTTCTACAGAGTACACAAAGTCCTATACCAGAATCTTCTGCAGCACATTCCACTCCCAGCTTGTAAGAGCAGTGACTCCAGGGAATCTCTACTTCTTACCTCACCTTCTCATTCTGATATGATTTTTCAGTCTGTGAGTCTAAGGCCGTGGTCCCCAACATGGTGCCCGCGGGCGCCATGGCGCCCACGGGGGCATTTGTCTGCGCCCGCCAAGTGCTCAGGACTGGCCTGGCCCCGGGCATGTGGCACATGCGCGGTGCCGGAG